GGACAAATTTAACGCATTTTTCAACTCGTTTTTCCTTGAATTTCCAGCATGTCTGAATACCATGATTGCATTTTTCCCAGAAGGTGCATCTCTTGGGTTCTGCATTCTCTTCAGAGTTGCTCACAAGCACCTTTGCACCAACGTTTCGTGCCTTTGTTGTCTTTATTTTTTCACCATCACTGGACTTCAAGGCATGAAGAGAAGTTACTGGATTGCAAGCTATTTTTGCTTCCTTTGTGATGAATTCTACAAACTGACTGAAAGTAGGAAACACACTACAAGTTTCTTCTATCTCAATCACCTTCCTATTCCAACTGGCCACCAGCCATTCTGGCAGTTTTGTTAGTTTTTGACTTTCATCACAGTCGTTCAATACTTCCAGACTCTTAATCTGGGACATTGCAGCCTGGCAGCCTCTAAGGAAGTCTGAAAAATCCCTCAGCTCAACACTGTCTTTGGGTCCGATTGTGGGCCATGCTGCAAGCTTATCCTGGAAAGCTTTAGCTATCACAAATGAGCTTCCAAATCTTTCTTCCAGGATATCCCATGTTGAGTCGTAAGCTGCATCTGTTCTTAATAGGAATTACACTCAACAAAAATATAAACGCAACACCTTTGTTACTGCTCCCATTCCCCATGGGATGGACGTAGAGACCTAAAATTCATTCCAGATACACAATATAACCATCCCTCCCAAACAGTGGTCACAAATCAGTCCAAATGTGTGGTAGTGGGCACATCTGCTATATTGAGATAATCCATCCCACCTCACAGGTGTGCCACATCAGGATGCTGATCTGACATCATGAGTAGTGCACAGGTGTACCTCAGACTGCCCACAACAAAAGGCCACCCTGGAATGTGCAGTTTTGTCTCACAGCAAAATGCCACAGATGCCACAAGCAATGAGGGAGCGTGCAATTGGCATGCTGACAGCAGGAATGTCAACCAGATCTGTCGCCCGTGCATTGAATGTTCATTTCTCAACCATAAGCCGTCTCCACAGGCGTTTCAGAGAATATGGCAGCACATCCAACCGGCCTCACAACCGCAGACCTCGTGTAACCACACCAGCCCAGGACCTCCACATCCAGCAGGTTCACCTCCAAGATCGTCTGAGACCAGCCACCCAGACAGCTGCTGGAACAATTGGTTTGCACAACCAAACAATTTCTGCACAAACTGTCAGAAACCGTCTCAGGGACGCTCAACTGCATGCCCGTCGTCCTCATCGGGGTCTTGACCTGACTCCAGCTCGTCGCCGTAACAGACTTGTGTGGGCAAATGCTCACATTCGATGGCGTCTGGCACGTTGGAGAGGTGTGCGCTTCACGGATGAATCATGGTTCACATTGTTCAGGGCAGATGGCAGCTGAGAATGTCCCAGTTCTTGCATGGCCAGCATACTCACCGGACATGTCACCCATTGAGCATGTTCGGGATGTGCTTGACCGGTGTATACGACAGCGTGTACCAGTTCCCACGAATATCCAACAACCTCGCACAGCCATTGAAGTGGAGTGGACCAACATTCCACAGGCCACAATTGACAATCTGATAGACTCCATGCGACGATGTGTTGCACTGCATAAGGCAAATGGTGGTCACACCAGATACTGACCGGTTCTGGGTCCCCAGACCCCCAATAGCGCAAAAAACTGCACATTCCAGGGTGGCCTTTTGTTGTGGGCAGTCTGAGGTACACCTGTGCACTACTCATGATGTCAGATCAGCATCCTGATGTGGCACACCTGTGAGGTGGGATGGATTATCTCAATATAGCAGATGTGCCCACTACCACACATTTGGACTGATTTGTGACCACTGTTTGGGAGGGATGGTTATATTGTGTATCTGGAATGAATTTTAGGTCTCTACGTCCATCCCATGGGGAATGGGAGTAGTAACAAAGGTGTTGCGTTTATATTTTTGTTGAGTGTAACTTTTGATGGCCCTTTTTGCAGGTCCACCAACGTATTTACAAAGGTAATAGGCCTTTTCATTTACTGGAATGTTTTTCCTACCTATTAGGGTTTGAAATGACATCTTCCAATCGTTGTTTCTCAGTGGGTCTCCTATGAAGACAGAAGGTTCAGGTACTGGTAGACGGCTTACATTAATAGACTCTGCTATTGCTTCAGCAAGGACTGTGACACTATCTGTTTGGTGTATCACGGGATGCTCACGTGGACTCCTTACAGCTCCTGGAGATCTATGTTGCTGAGCTGCATGGTTATGAAGTAACTCTGTTATTTCCTCATCTGAGCTTGCATCTTGTTCATAAACTTGGAGCCGTGCCTTTGCCGCACTTAACTTCTTAACAGTCTGTAAGCACTTCTCTTCCAGTGCTTTCTTTCTTGCCACATTTTCTTCCTCTTGTAATGCAATCCTCTTTCTATCTTCTTCTTCAAGGCTTTCAAGTTCTTGTTGTTCACATTCTATCTCCTGCAGGACCTTTAGTGCAGCTTGTGTGGCAGCCAGCTCTACTACAGCCTCTTGTCTCTTAATGGAGGAAAGGCTTGACTTTCGCGACTTTATGCTGGAACTGCTTTCAGAGCTTAACCCTTAGATGCACACGTGGGGTCAAAAATGACCCCATGGGTTGTTTTTCTTCAAAATCTTAAAAATGAAAAGTTGTAATATATTCATGTTGAAGGTATTCCTCATAAAATATGTTTGTAACATGAGGCTATTTGCGATTTTATTTATTTTTTCAATAATTTAAAAAATGCAGTTTTTGTATCACTACCCCACTCTTCCACAAGTGGGATCAAAAATGACCCCAAGCAGTTCCTATGGAATTTTCTATGAACCTTTAATTCTTAGCAACTCTGAGTGTCCCACTTACACTTCTGATGGATCAGGAATTTATTTTTAGACAGTAACAAACGATTTATACTTTTCTGTGCATTTCAAACATTGTCCTTTCTGATGTTTATTTTTAATATCTAAAGTAACATAGCTACTATGAGGCCAGCTAGGATCCCTGTGGACCTTGCCCTACAAATGATCCAGGATGGAGGGGATGAAGAGCCCATCAGAGGCATTGACTCAGAATCTGACATCTTAGATATAGAGGACCCAGACTACACCACTGAATAAGGCCAGTGAGACACAGAGAAGTCCTCTGAAGAGGAAATGGATATTGTGTCTAACAGAATGAGCCCCTCTTCCTGCTCAATATTCTGAATAGTTGGCCAGGGCTTGCACCTGGGTTTAGTACTGTCTCCCCAATAGATGCATGGAAGATGTTCATGTCTGATAATATAATAGAGGAGGTGCTGACATGCACAAACATGGAGGCACGAAGAGTAGCCAGAGACAGGGGAAAAGAGTGGAAAAATGTAATCTAACATAAGCTCATGGCCTTCATTTGATTAACCATTCTTGCAGGAAGTGAACTGGTATGTACCATTCGGTGTGTTTTTTGGGAGTCCTCTGCACTCTTCCACACCCGTGGAAGAGTGTAGGTATTGGTAGGTTGTGCATCCAAGGGTTAAGGGCAGAGGCATCAAAAGCATCAAATTGGCTATTCTTCCCTTGTCTTTTTAAAGATAAAACTCATTGCTACAGCCAGGAAAAAAATACAAAATTCACCCTTTAGACCTGCTTTTTTTTGTTTGTTTCTGTCTCTATTGTTATGTATGTATGTATGTTCTGTCACTAGTTAGCTTACATAAATCAATGTAGGAGTATTAACAACAATGCCATTTTATGTATTTGGACAAGATAGCACTACATTTACTCTAAAACTGTAACTTCAAGAATTTTAATTTTAAATTCAGTTTCATGCACAGTGTTAAATGTGTAACAGTTGTTCAGAATAGGTGTCAGTGGTATAAATTAGACTTAGTACATGTAGTGTTTCATGTACTCCACATACACGGTAATTTTACAGTAATTCACTTGAAACAGTTTCTTGTGAAATTTTAAGTTCAAAATAAGTAACATTTGCCAAAGATTCTTTTCTTATTCACAGTGAAGGTGCAGCACCTTCTATGCAAAGTTACAATCGTTTCTGTTGCTGACACTATTTGAGAGTGAACATTTTATGCCAGTTATATAAGTAATATAAAGTGCAAGACAACATTGCAGATTTAAGACATTTGAAACATTCAAGCAGCTTAAATCTTGAAAAACACGGTTTGGCAATGAAGTGAGCAAACAAGCACCAACACTATCCTTTGAGGGAATGGTTCATTATCACTAGTGACAAACATGAAAAGCAAATGGTAATAAGCGAGTCTGAAATGCTACTCTGCAGGAAAAACATTTACGATTCTGAGTGCCAGCAACAATTTCTTTGGCTGCCCAAAGATCTCCCCACATAGTATTTCTTTTCTTTAGTGCTAGTCAGAGAAACGCCAAGTAAGATAATCCATTACTTTCCCCACTGACTAGAGCACATACACGCACAAGCATAAAGGCAATATACCAGGTTGACTGGCTGTTGATGCCAGTTTATTACTTCTAATTCTATTTACCACTATTCTTGCAACTGTGCACCAGCTCACAGTGGGTTGTAAAGAGTTTCTTTCTGATATGGGGGGAGTTTCAAATCACATAACAGAGTGACTTTTTATATTTACATTTTACTTACTATTTCCTTTAATTTCCTCTTGATAAAATAAAAGGTATGTTTTGAAATGCAACATAATTTGTATTTCTTAAAACTTAAAACTGAATTGAATATGCAGTCTGTGTTAATCACACCAGTCCACACTGTAGTTATTCTAATAGGGATTAACTGATTTAATTTAATTGCCTTAGGGCAACTGTAGTTGTGATTTGGTGTTATACAAATTAAACTGGATTGAACTGAATATGACTTAAGACTTATTTTATAGCATTTTTAAACACTAAGGAAACCAGTAAATGCAGGGAGGCAGAAACACTGAATGACTGAGGTAGTGAAGGGTTCCTACGGTGTGGAAACCAGGTTTTGCTGGCTCTAGACAACTGTAAAAGAAAGAGCAACAGCTTGGCTGTAAGCATTCATGTTATGTTGGAGGCTTAATATCTGATCCTATAGAGAAGCAGCATATAACATACACTGCTGAAAGCACAGTTGGAAGCGCAATTAGAACATAAAACACACAAAGATACACATACGTAGTGGCACACAGAGCATCTTAGGTGGTATTTTGCTGTGAGGAGCCAACAATCCAAACAAGCCAAACAATCAAAAAATGAGCTGTGGCCTCTAGCCAAGTAATACTTTGATTGGAGTTCATTCTTGTCAGGCCACAGACTGTGCAGTTTCATCTCCTTAAATCCACCACTTTGAAAAGAAGAAAGGGTTGCGGCCTATAATTAATCTTAAACCCTGTTGTGGAAAGTGTACGTTAATAAAAACAGCTACAGATTAATTTCCATCTAGAGATAAATAGCTGTTCTACATATAGAAGAAAATTCATGTGAAACAAGAATTGGGAGTGTTGTGTAGGAATCTCAAGTGTATCTGAGTGTGTGGGGAGTTGGTTTAGACACCTTTACACTGAGGTAATGAGTTGCTTCACATATTTGTTTTGAGAAACTTTTAAATGAACTTTGACAACTTGAATGTTAATAGAGATCAATATAAATTTTCTAGTTTTGGACAAAAGAAAAGTGTAGTAACAAATTCATGATTCAAAATAATAACAAAATAATTTTTTATGCCACCATGAGTTTACAACTCAACTGGAATCCAAAAGGTTCTGCTACGGGGTACTCTATCACAGGATTTACACACAGTAATCAGCTGAACAATGAAATAAAAATAAACCATGGCTTACCCCTTGGTGAATGATGCTTCCAAATTATGTTTGCATCAGGTCGACCAACTGCCAGGCACATAAGATTGACGTTGCTGCCTTCATTCACCGTGACGTCCTTTGATATGTTAGTGATCCTGGCAGGTACTGAGGGTAGAAAGAAGAATCGTGATTGATGTTTTTACTCTAATTAATGACAAATAAGCGAAGTACTTGCTATTGCATGTGGTCAGACCCATGATGAGGTTAAAAATAACCCCAGGGATGGGGACTCAATTAGCATGAAATTAGCTGACAAATCTCTCAATTCTCTGGCTCGGTGTGATGTTATACATGATTGATTTTCTTCATCATGTATCTATGCCACATTGCTTATTAGACAAGCATCAGACTAATTTTAAGTACGACAGGATTTTAACTTTCACCAAGGAAATTTGATTTGTGTGTGTGGCAGGCTCATTGATTGAGTGTGCTCTGTAAGAGGATAACCTCAAGTCAAGGGTTAGACGTTACTGTCCTTCACTATAATTTAACTCTCTCATATTGACTTGAACTTTAAAACCACATTAGCCCAAAATGCTGGGTTGACATTCATAGAAGAAAAGGACAGATGAGAATGGGCATGTGCCTTAATTGATCATAAATAATTTCATATCAAGAAAACAAAAATACAACAGTACAAACCTGGTCTGTGAAGGTTCTCAGTGATCCAGGTCATTGTAGTCTAAGGAGCTTGGAAAGAAAAGCGTCTGGACTTCTTTAAGTTGCTTGAAGACGTTTCAACTCTCATCCAAGAAACTTCTTCCATTCTGCCCTAGAACGGAAGAAGTTTCTTGGATGAGAGTTGAAACGTCTTCAAGCAACTTAAAGACGTCCAGACGCTTTTCTTTCCAAGCTCCTTAGAGTACAAACCTGGCCACATTTATAGTATTAATGTTACTGTGTTGTGAAAAAGTGTTTGCCCCTTTCCTGATTTCCTATATTTTTGTCACACTTAAATGTGATTATTAAGCAAATTTAAATATTAGACAAAGATAACATAAGTAAACACAAACGTTTCTAGATGAAGGTGTTTATGATTAAGGAGAAAGAAATTGAAACATAATTGGCCCTGTGTGAAAAAGCGATTGTCCCCTAACTCTAAAATTATTCAGGAATGCGCTAATAGAATGACAGAAGGAGCGAGGTGTTGCACCAAGGATGAATATAAGAAAAAACGTTTTTTAATCATGCAAAGCTACTATTGAACACTCCAAGAAAAATATGTTAGAAATAACTATTATAGGGCTTATTTCACTGGACTATAAAGTGATCCATTTTATTAGCCATTATTTTGCAGGTGTGGTAATGTTTTAGTCCTCATGTCCTCACCTGATGCTTCTATTTTTGTTTGTTGTTGCTCATTGTCCCTGCTTTCCCTCTTTGTACGTTTATGTGCGTGTGTGTGTGCACATGTTCTCGCCTTCATATGAACATGGGGCCTTGACAGTTTTCCACTCTGAAGCCAGCCACACCTGACAATGATCACATGTTTGTAGCTCATCACTAGAGACCTACTTAACAGAGTGGCTGTGCTTCAGTCAACACTGGATCGTTGTGTGGCAACAGTCAGCTCGTGCAACTGTGTTTTGGCAAGTAAGGAGAACCATGTGGAGGGAGCCATGTGTGTTATTGTAAATATTGCTGTGGAAGCTGTGGAGAAAGAAGCTTTTGGAAGAGGAGTCACTGTACTGGAAGCTGGGAAGTCACTGCTGAAAAGATTACGTTATACTCTAAATAAATTCACTGTCTTCATTCTGGGAGTCCTGCATTGGGTCCTATTTTCCTGACAGATTTGACCGAATGATCCAGCCAGAATGGACTATTAAATTCCGGTTCTTTAGTATTCTTTACGGCCAAGAAAGACACAGGGCTCAAAGTGGTCCTTTTACTTTAAAAATGATCTTTATTTTACATATCCGGATATGGAGACCTGAACACAAAACACACAACCCCAGGTGTGAAGCACAAACGGAAGCCTAGGTATTTATATACTCGCTCTCTACATCACACCAAACTTTAAGTTTCGATCAAACAGCCTAGTTGGTTTCACTTTCTAGCTGCAAAAGCACGCTCTGCAAAAGCATGTAATTTCCTGTCAGCCTGCAACCTAGTTTTACACTGAAGTCTGGGCCTCTCTTATATAAACCAATATAATCAGCATAAAAGCATTTAAGATTATATATTTATTACCTAACAGGACCCAGTGGATTTGAGCCCTGTCAAGCGAATGCTAACGATACAGGAAGACTGACTGGATGGACGCAAAAAAATATTACAACACATTTCCAAGGAGCAGAGGTCAATGCAACCACAATTTGCGGAGATGCTTAAGATGCTTGAGTCTAGTTTATTCATTATGTTCTCAGTGTATTTTATATTTTCTAGTTTATTTTGCTTACACACTGGAGTTTATTTAGTATTTCTAGTTTAGGTTGTATTGGGTGTTGGTCCAGTTCATGTCTTTTTATCAAATCTCTGTGTCTTTCCCTCAGTATTCTCCTAGTTAGGTCAGTCTTGTCTTGATGTTTGTCTAGTTGCCTGTTTCTCCAGTAATGGGCCCCATTTCTTCTCCCTCTGTTTCCTGGGTTTCGTCTGTCTGTGTGCCACTATTTCCTGTTTCAGTTTGACAGTCTCTTGTCCTATGTTTAGTGGGTGGCTGTAGCTCAGGTGACAGAGCAGGTCAGCCGCTAATCAGAAGGTCGGTGGTTCGATCCCAGGCTGCCTCCTGGCTGCATGCCAAATATCCTTGGGCAAGATACTAACCCCATGTTTGCCTACTGGTGGTGGTCAGAGGGCCCGGTGGCGCCAGTGTCCGGCAGCCTCGCCTCTGTCAGTGCGCCCCAGGGCAGCTGTGGCTACAATTTTTGTATTAGGACATCCAGCAATAAAGCAGTGTTTTAGTTGTTCTGCCTATTGAGTCTGCATTTTGGGTCCAATCCCCTTCTCTCATGACATTAACAGCTGTGTTTTGTTCATATTCAGGAAACTGTGTAGCGTGTCGAGGGAGCCAAGTGTGTTTTCGTAAATGTTGCTGTGGGAGCTGTGGCAACAGCTTTTAGAAAAGAATTCACTGCACTGGAAAGTCACTGCTGATATTGAAACTGTTTTGCACTGTATTGTTTTACACTCAAAATATACTCATTGTCTTTGTTCTGGAAGTCCTGCATTTGGGTCCTGTTTTCCCAACAGGCTTCACAGATAATTTACACCATCAAGATGGCATCACTACTTCTGATTTTTTGGAACTCGTTTGTGACAGATTTTGTTCATTTTTATGGACAGAATTTCTTCTCAGCTTCTCATCTCTGCTTTTGAAGATGATGCAGTTCTGTTGGCTTCATCAGGAGGTGGCCTCCAGTTCGCACTGGAGCGGTTCAGAGCTAAGTGAGACCCGATGTAAATGAGAATCAGCACCTCAAAGTCTTAGACCATGGTCCACATCCAGAAAAGGGTGAAGTGCCCATTCCAACTCAGGGGCCAGTTATCGCCCCAAGTGTAGGAATTTAAATATTACGGGGTCTTGTTCACTAGTGAGGGGAGCGGGAGATGGGCAGACGGAGTTGGACTGCGGCTGCAGTGATGCGGATGCTGTACTGTTGCCTTGCATTAAACTGCAATTAAGAGACTTCTCTATCTTTTGCTTACAGCAGTTAAACTAATGCCATGGAATGAATGTATGATTCAATGAGAGGAAAATGTAACATGCTGGACTTTTAAGAAGTTTTAAATGGAATGGGATGGTTGTGGTGGGTGGTGCGGTTTGGAACCATTGTTATAGTGACCACAGAATTTAATGAAGTAGCATCTGTTTGCAGAGTAAGTGAAGGGTCTCCAGCTTGATAATGCCAGTAGGCAGGTGATTGAAAAAAACATACCTCCCCTGCCACCGGGCTTGCTAAGTTGTGGCTTGTGGCTGGGGATGCATCATCCTTCATATCAGCACAACCAAGGTTTTATAGTAAGTAGTTAATTAGAAAATGAAATCCAGAAGCGATCAAAGGAGGAAACTAATGCTTTCCTTTAATATTTGTTGAACATCTAGGCAAAAGTGCTGAGAATGATTTTCTCTGCAATATTTTTTTCTAATTTTAACCTTCATTCTACTGGTAAATGGGTTTCATTCACATGGAAAGGAACAGAAATGCTACAATGTGTTATCCTAATGGCACAAGAAGAAGTACATAATGATATAGTATGCATGGCTAGAATGACTTGCAATGATGTGTTTGAGAAGATAAATCATACATTTATGACAAATGCCAGTGTCAGAAAATGCAATAGCAAAATGTGTAGATGGATATTTCTAGATGTTTGGAAAGTAGGTACCTAAAATAAGCTAAGCAACAACATCCATGCTCATCTTCCCACTCCTACTAAGGGGATTAGGAAGGATTGGGAGCCTTTGCTCCCAATTTACTTCAGCAGAGATAGCACAATTATCATTTAAACTACTTCAAGTCCTGATTTAAAAACAGAAACTAACAAGACATACTCCAAGAATGTGCCTCCACCAAAACAGCTCACTCTCAAATTCAAATTCAAATTCAAATTCAAATTTTATTTGTCACACACACACAACCATACACAGTATGACATGGGGGTGAAATGCTTGTAGCTGTACAATGCCCGACCATTAAATGACAGAAGAAAAGTTTTACAATATTTACAATTTACAGTTTACTACAAAAATTTACAAATTAACTTAGGAATGTACAGTAAAGAATGTGCAAATAGCAGAAGAGATTATAAAGATAAGGATTATAAATTATAGGAATTATAGGATTATAGGAAATGTGTGGTGGTGCGTGTGGTGACGTGTGTGAGAGTCCAGTCTTATAGTGACGTGTTTGGGAGAGTCCAGTCCTACACCTGGTTCAGGCCCCGAATAGCCTGGGGGAAGAAGCTCCTCCTCATTCTCTCTGTTTTGGCCTTAAGGGAGCGGAAGCGCTTCCCAGACCTCAACAGTGAGAAGAGTCCATTGTTGGGATGGGAGAGGTCCATCATAATCTTCCTAGCTTTGGACTTGCACCGCTTGGTGTAGATGGACAGCAGGTCAGGGAGCTCTGATTGAATGATGCGTTCTGCCGAGCGCACCACCCTTTGCA